CAATTATAAATAGGCATATTTATTTTAAGAAATTTTACCTTCATTAAGAACGATGATAATGGTTCAATAGCTGCTTTGGAACTATCCATGATGAACTCTTCACATATATGTTTCAGCTCTTTATCGACTTCCTGTATTAAGAGTATTTTTTTTTTGTTCATTATATATTATAAATGATAAAAAAAATGGATATGTTAAGTCCCTATTGGGTTTTAATATTATTATAAAAATAAAAAATGAATATAATTTAACTTGTTTTGAATCAATCCTATTCTCGACAACTTTTGGGATGCCTTTTGATGCCAAACCAAATAAAGTGGTTGGGCTAAGAATTGAATATTTATTTTGTAATATTTCACTAAGTGCATCTGATGAGATACGTGTTAATTTAGATCAAAATAATGCATTATTTTATACAAATAATAAAAAGCGACCACACACTCGTTATTTGTGAAAAATCCAAATCTTTTTCTTCGTGTATAAATTGCGTATCAAATGAAGCTATTTGATCTTTAAGTATTAGGAGATGTTTTATTAAGAAAAGCTGTCCATCAAGTTTGCTCTATGAAATTAATCAACTGAAGTTAGTAAATATAATTAAGAGTAAAGTAAATAAATGTTTTTATACTAGTTTTAATAATACCTCTTTTGCTACTATTTCACTTGTAGTTAACAGAGATTGCAAACATAAATCAACAACGTCTTGAGCAATATCATCAAATATTGTAGGCTATCAGAGTTCAAAAACAATTATCGAAATGATTTGACATTATAACAAGTGATGATAGATTAAAATTGAGAACGCACATTAACACACCGATAAAGTTTTGACAGTATCCATAAAGTGCGTTGCAATGTGGGGAACCATCCACGGTATAATTCTCCAGTATCGATAACATTCGTTGAGGATGTTGAAGATACTGTTTTCATAGATTCAACATCATCGTTATCTTGTTGAACCGCTAGTATAGCTGGCGATGAAGTTGGTCGTTGAATTTCAGTAGGTTCAGCGATGCCATTGGATGACGGTGTGTCACTTAATTCTAAATATTACGATTGTAACATTACTAAAATACTAGAGTTTGAAAACATAATAAACATAATTCAAACCTTTTAACTTAGTGGGATAGTTCACGTCTGACGGGTTTGGGATAAAATTTTGTATTTCGCTTCGAATATATGTTTGAACACGAAATACAAGTCGTTGTTGAGCATCTTGAAGTACGTTACGTATTAAGTGACTGAATTGCAGCCCTTGTCCTTCTTTCTCTAAATTAACCGATATAATACAGTCGATTAAATTGTCAATTCTCTAAAAAGGTAATATCTATATAATTCCATACCTCCAATCGTTTCAGTATCTTGATTTAGATGTACTTGAAGAGTTGTACAAAGTTCTGATAAAACCTCAATATTATTTTCATGAATAATACGAGGACGAAGATAGTCGTACATGTAACTGCATAATAAATCCAAGTTTCCACTATCGAACACAAACGGGATAATATGTCAATATATTTTCGAATTATGTAATAAAATAATAATAATAATAATAATAATAATCATACTATAAGTCGTCTTCACCCGTTGAAAAAAAGTTATAAAATAATGAATATTCATCTGAACAAAGGTTCAACATATATGCATATCCGTTTCGCGCCTAATAATAGAATTACTAGTTCGAATAGGTAGGAAAATATTGTGAATGATGATTCAATATTATTCAGAAAACTTACAAATGTCAAGATATCTTGCCCGTCAGAACTCAGCTCCAAAATCTTTGCGTATATCACAGGGATAAGTAACTGTTGTCGTACAGAAAAGTACGCATTATAGCAATCATTTAACAAAGAATTATATCTACAGCAATGTTAATAATTAAAAAAGACAGCTATACTTTCACGTTAAAAGTAATATTTAATAAATGGGAAAAAACATACTCTCGATGTGCAGGACACCGTTTTTCCACCTCATGCACTAATTCCTTCAGTTTTGGAGCGACAGCACGAAATTTCACGTAAAACAAGGCAGTTTGCACAGTAGAATTTGTCGACTTGTCATCCGAAAATGGAAGAAAATAAATAAGGTATTGAATATAAAATTCATATGTATAGATAATAAGATA